GACTAAAAATTCAATATCTCAGCAACAAAGCACCATGGGGATGAACCAACTTAGGATATTTCACTACTCACTGAGGTCTACAAGATACAAGTAGTCCGAGTCCAAAAGCGATTTATAACCTCAAGAGGTTCCCTCGTTAAACTGATTCGTACACAATCTAAAAGTAGTGCACTGAAAAATCTTATTTTTCAACTATACATATAATTTTGATGTTATTTAATTTAAGAAAATAATAAAAACGAATATTTCTTCTTAATTTCGTTTTAGAGTATAGATTTTTCGGATAAATTAATTAAAATGAGTATTAGACTAAGAATTAAGGATCACAATGCAAAAGCAGATCATGTGGGTGAGGTATCCGAGTTACCCAACAATAATAATCATTAAAAATGATCATTTTACTCTACATATGTGTATTTTTGATTTTATAATATTATTTATTTTTTATAAATATGCTCGTTATGAAATTGATAAATATATTTTTGTTTTGTTGTTGATAGTGTTGTTTGTTTCTGACTTGGCTAATTAATAGAGCTGTTGTACATGAATAAATGCTAAAATAGTTGCTTAAATTTTTTTTTTCGTTTTTTTTTAATATTTTTACATATACGTCCGTATCTTCCAGAGATTATTGTGTAAAACATACTGCTAGTGAGCTTCACGCAGCGTTCAGTTTAATAGAGCGTGTAGTATATAATGCTGAGGAAACATTTTACAGTAGTCGATTTGTTAGATAGTTGTAGTTTAAAATGAGCTGCTAGGATGCATTTGAGCTGACTGGTATCCAAGTAAACAAGGTCATTGCGAGGATCCATTATTTTTTAGAAGAGAGAGTTAGAGAGTTTTCTGGCAGTATGAAATTCAATTTTTTATGTTCTTCAGTGGTCAAATAATGGAAATTTTCAAAAGATTTTATTTAATGGAGAACCATTTTTTCAATTATTATAGGGGTACGTATGCTCCTCTCCCTTGAAAAGTGTCTCTCCAATCGCTGAAGAAAGAGAGAACATTCAAAGAGAGAAAGTCATTTATAGATTGTAATTATGAGCACGTAAACTCTAGCATGGAATATTTAGTACGTTTTCTTACATTTCTATGTTACTTATGTTTGATGTGTCTTCAGCGTTACTAAACGAGCAAGCTATAGCTTCATTTCTCTACATTATATTTAATATTAATGTGCATATCTTGAATAAATTATTTTTATCTAAATGTTTGCTAACTATACCCATATTACAGCAAAAAAAACTTTTTGAATTTTGGATTTGTTCGTTTAGATCTTTTTTTTACAAAAGTAATTCATTTTTGTAAAAAAAATGATCAGTGCATTAAGCGACCGTCTCATTTGTTTTGACGATATCTTACCTGCTAATGAAATGTATCTTTTATTTTAAATACAAAACTGCACGTCATTTTCAGAAAAACAAAATGCATGTTTTTCAGCCGAACAATAATGGAAGAGTTTAACTTTGAACAATTGAAATAGGAGCGACACTCTCTGCGTATCCATCCTGTCAAATGGTAACGTACGAAAGTGAAAAAAACATAAATTTTTCATTTAAACACTTTTATTTTATCCGTACATTTTTTCTCTAGATTAAACAAACTAATTGTAATCTTTGAGAATAATTTAATTGGTCAAACTAGATCCAATTGTGACTGAGTCATCGATTGAGTACAATTTCATTATGACCCTAATTGAGTCATCTATTGAGTACTCTATCTTTCTGCTAACTACCTTAAAGTTACGATTTTTACTAATAAAGTTTGTTTCTCTTATTTCTTTAATCGTATGTATGAGCAATCATAAAAGAGTGTTCTCATAGCAAAGATAGATGAGTTGTCCTTCGAGTCTTTACTTTTGAAAGCTGTATCCTACTTCCTACTCTTACGTTTAGAATAATATTTGAATTAATTTGATCGATTTAGCGATTATTTTTTGTTTTGTTAGTGACAGTGCAGCATACAGGTGATGTTTTTGATCCAGATATTATCGATACAGATGATTTTACTGTACTTTTTATTTGACTTTAGGTAACAGTCATTTCTCATATTGTACACTTGATATTTATTATATCAAAATGGGATTTTCTTTTTGTTGCTTTTTTTGTCACATAATAAGTTACCTGCATATGCTTGACTTTTTACATTTATTTATTTCCTCATTTATTTACTAATAGAGAGATAGAGAGAATGCAAGTGTTGATTTTTAAATTCTCATTTTTATTGTCTCTGATGTAACAGGGACTAGTTTTCTAAATATACATAAATCTTTCACTATTTCAAAAAAAAAAAAAACTGATATCAATTGCACAATAATTTTTTATCTGATCAACTATGGCAGTACACCAGGTGAAATATTTTTCCTAGCTGATAAAAAAACAAAACATGATATTCAGTAGTTTTATCTTTTCTGTATGATATATCCTTCACTTATATTTTATCTAAATGCCGACTAGAATAACCGTTGTTTAATCGAGTCTATCATCCATATGTTTTTTTTCCTTTTTCTTGTTGCCCTTTGACATGTACATAGTAATGTACATAATACATCTACAGTTATTCTCTGCTTATTTATATAAAGTGACAAATATGAATAGATGTAAGAATTGTGAAGTGAAGTGAACACATCACGTAAATACATATCTGTAACTTTATTAAAAGAAAGAGGAGAAGTAAAAAAAATCATGAACAGAGTTAAAACGTTCAGTACATCAAATATTTTGCAATATAAATATATGCCAACAGTAAGTTATTTCAATAAAATTAATATTTTTAATTGGAATAAAAGCTATTTTCTTATAGACAGTTTGCATTCATTAGAAAACAATATATGTCCGTTTTTTGTCTAGAATTTTTTTTTTATTTTCGATAAAAAATCGTACAATTTTGTTGTATAGTTATCGGCTTCTTAGTTCGCATTAAGTATATTTTTAACTTGAATAGGATTAAAATACATCACAGAATAGAGTAATATGTACTCGTTAGATTATTTATCTTTATAATTTCTAGTTGTATGTTTTAGTGTAGCATCTTTAAATCACTTATGAGCGTAAGATGATTCCAAATAACATAGTTTTATCGTGTTTGTACGGATAATAGACACTCGTCCTTAGGTTTGAATATCGATGTATTTTTTTTTCTCTTAACAATGATCTCGAAATAAGAAACCTTAATAATATTTGAATTTTTATTCACTTGTGATGATGATGAAATTATATTCTACTCTTTGTCTTTTAACATATGTGGAATCAATTTGCTTTCTTTTCTCTTAGTTTTTATTTTTTTTATTTTTATTCTTTGTCACACCTGATTATTCTCGTTGGCATACCACATTCAACACGAAATAAAATCACATACAACTTATTTTTTTCTGCTACTGCTACTGTTTTTGCATACTACAGGTATAATCTACAATCTAACTAACTATACACGCACTTTTTACATCATTTCTATTCCACATATTAATTGTACTTATATTGTAGTCTAGTACTAGAAAAAAATTCATCATCAAAAGGTGAGAATACGAAAAGTTTACACTACAAATAATGTTATTCGTATAAGTAAGCGTACTAGAGAAAAGAAGTAACACACTTTGTATATTGTTGAGAATAATATTCAACAGGCATATCAACTTCTTGTAAAGAGATCAAGGTTTTTTTCTCTCTCTCTCTCTCTCTCTCACTTCTACCGATTATTCCATTTTTTTGTGACGTACTTCGGTTTGACCTACATTTTAAATTTATCATCGATTATTGTACACTTTCTTAGATATTTCTTTACTAATCATCATTTTCTATTTATGAATTAAGAATTTTATTAGAAAGTTTTAGTAAACTCTCGACATGAAATTAGAATTTTATGAACAAACTGAAGTAAAAGATTAACTTCGTATTCCCCGCCATTGACTCTGTTCATTAGCCATTTAAATAAATTTAATCTAGTCATTCCTGATTTTAGTGAACTTGGATCTAGAATGTTCGATATTGCTAAATTAATTCGTTGTTCAGTTTCTTACCACAGTCTATTTTATTTACTTTGATTTAGAACCTTTTTTTATTGATTGTAAAACTTTTACAACAGTTTTGAAGGTTTTTATTAATAAATTAAAATATGATTTTTGTTATGATATTTTATATTAATGAAAATGTGTCACTTTTGCGATTATTATTATCGTGTACACTTTACAGCATCAGTAGTTTAAAACTGTAATACTCAACTAAACGTTTTTCCAACACCAGAAACAAATTTTGCATCTTTCAGTATTTCTGTCGCTTAAAGGGATGCTAGATCATTAGGAAAATTTGTTTTTACCAGTATTTCAATAGCATGTCTATCACTCTCTCTGTCTGTCTCTCTCTCTCTACCTCATCTCATAGAATTTATATTAATTTTCTGTCTAGAAATCGTTTCATTGCATGAAGTAACAAATTTGCAGGATGCAGTTAAAACTCATATTGTTCTTTCTTCTTAAATTGAACGATATGGCAATAATCATCGATCGTCTCTTTCTTACAGCTGTGTTATGTAGTAGTGTATTATTTCTTTTTTTTTTTCATTCTTCTATCTAGTTTAAATAAGAGCACTCTTTCTTCTTCTTCTTCTATGTATGAGAAAGAGAGAGAATGATGGATAAAAATGCGGAAAAATTCCATCAATTTTGCTGTTTTTCTTTCTCTTTCTCTTTTTTTTTTATTTCCAATAGGAGAATGGTAATATAGTACGTGAAAGCGATAAACGTGAAGAAATATATTTTGAAAAAGGTCAAACAAAACAACTTGTTGAAAAATGGAAAACAAAGCAAAATTCACCTGATCGTGACCAGCAAAATTTAGATGTAACAACATCCACGTTAGGTGAACAACGATCATTGAAAGATCAAGATTATTTACAAACGGGTGGGTAAATGGCAAAACAATTACTTTGATTTTCATAGAAAATTTCATTTAACATCAACATAAGAATTTAGTTTTACTATTATTATCTTTGTTTTAGGAAAAGCTAAAAATTTAGTTGAAATGTGGAAAACAATGGACAAAGAAAATACACCACCATCTGAACGTCGTGCACCAAGACCCATAACACCGCCAACGAATGATCAAAGAAAATTACTGATTACAAATGTTAGTATTTGATAATAATTATTTCTTAAATAGTATAGAGTCCTAGATAATATGACGAGGATAAATTGATTTGTTTGTTTAGGATGATCATGACAGTAGTAGACAATCTTATACCAATGATACATCAAAAATTGAATCTGGCCATGCTAAAGCTGCTCGAGAAAGGTAATTGACATTTTTTATTCTTAATTTTGCTTGTAGACACACACACACACACACACCTACACATCCTTTTTGTTCATTATTTATTCAGTGATAAGGAAGTTCCTCTTAGTGAATCAACTAGTCGTGTTAATAATGATGAGAATAATCAATTTTTTAATCTATCATTAGTTAAAAGTTCTATTGATGATATTCATCAATAATTCTTCAAAATATTATAATTCTTCAAAATATTGTTGATGAAAATGATAATAAATAGATAGTTAAGCTATACTTTATAATAAAAACAAATGAATATAAATCAATCATTCTAAAATTAGAAATACTTATCGTTATCATTTCCGATTAGAAATTCGATAGTTTTTCTTCTTTAATCGTTATATACTTTACTTTTTTACATCATATGCTTTTTCAAAAGGTCAAACGATAAACTACATCATTTTTTTCTTCTCTCAATTCATTATAACTTTTTCTATCAAAAATTTTCATGATGCAATCAAAATCTTCTATAAATCTCTTTTTTATTTTCATTATTTTATTCTTTTTTTGTTTATTTTCTAGATTTATACAAAATGTTGAACAAAATAATACAACAACGTCGAATCGATCAAGTTTGAAACAAGTAACACCACCACCAGGCGATTATAAGCAAAGGTAAATAAACTAACATATTTACTTTCTTGACATCTTTTAAACTATAATTAATTTTTTTTGTTACAGAAAATCTTCTAGTCCATCGGATGTTCATAATACAACGTTTGATCAATATGAGACTAACGAAGATATTATACCGACAAAGGGTCAAGCAAAAAATTTAAAAAATCGCTTTGTTGAATATGAACAAGATGCAAAAAAAATTGAAACAGCTTCATCCAAAGTTAAACACATTCCCAAGAGATTTGTTGTAAGAAGAAAATGATATTTTTTAATTAGAATTTTTTAATTTAATAATTTTCAACTTTTAGGATACACCTGCTCCTAAACAAACAAATATTGAACCAGCCATTGCTGATAATAAATGTTTCTTATGTAATAAAACAGTATATGCTATGGAAAAAGTAAGAGAATGAGATAAATTCTTCTATTTACGATTTTATACATAAATAATTAAATTTCTTTCTTCTAGGTTGAAGCTGACAAAAAAGTTTATCACAAATCTTGTTTTAAATGTATGCAATGTAAATCAGTGTTAAAGTAAGTTTTGATGATCAACAACTTGTTCATATTTCCTACTTTCTCATTTAGAAAAATTAACACAATTTCAACATATAAATAACGTAAAAGAGACTGAAGAATGGGCAATGGCTTGTGCATTTTATTTTTTTATTTTTATTTTTTCTTTATGCACAAATTATCTCTACCTACCGATTTCTACCACACATATACATACATCATTATTATCTTGGACTCCCTGTGAGGGTTTCTCTCGCCCTCTCTCTCCCAATATCAGAGGCATGACGACAATTGTGTTCCTTTTCTCTTTTATTCATCGTATATACTTTTTATTACTGTTTTAACGATAAAGTTAGATAAAAATCCGAATATAAAGTGAACTAGAAGAAAACGCCGCAGGTTCATTGGAAAATTTTGAAATTAATAAACTGTTGAGTTACTATTTCCTTTTTTGTTGTCATTTAAAATTTTCAAGGAGATTCTGATTCAAAAATTATGCGTACGTATTTTTATTTTATTTTTTAAACTAAATAGGAGATTTTTTACATAACTATCGGTACTTAGCGTTCACATTTCTACTTCTACGTATTACTAAATCATTTATAAAGTAAAAAAGTATCTTTTTTTGAAAATACAAAATGTATGTTCAAATAATATTTTGGATAGAGAGGAAAAAAAAGAATAGTCAAATAATCTTAGATATTTGTGTATGATCTCTTTTATGAAAACGTTACTCTCGTTTTCCCTATTTTAATTTTAATGGAATGGCTCCTTTTGAATATTTTCACGGTAATCTCTTTTTTATTTCTTGACAATGACAAACAAGCATGTGTTTGAAGTGGATTTTGATTTTTTTTGGCGTTTTACAAAGTGCACAAATATAGATTATTATCTATCTTTTATTCTATTGTCTTCTATATTTTTAGACCTGGTAATTTTACATCTGTTGGAACAAAGATCTATTGTAAACCTCATTATATGCAGTTATTTGCCGTTAAAGGAAATTATTCATCTGGATTTGGTTTAGAAGAACATAAATCTCGATGGTCACAGCAACAAACTGCCACACAATATCAAAATAATAATAATAATAATTATAATAATTCTTGACAAAATATATCATCAGTTGAACGGAACGAATGAGAGTTGATAATATTTAGTTGGCAGCAGAATAAATAAAATCTTTTATGTGATTCTTTTTTTTTTCTTCTCTTTTCCTTCTCTAACTGCCGTGTGCGCGCGTGTTTTGTATACTAGAATATCATTTAAGAATATTTCTGTTTGTTCTCATTTCTGTGTTCGAATATCTGTTTTTTTCTTTTTATTATGCAATATTCTATTCTATATAATTATTACTGCTCATTTTTCGTTTTTATTTCTTGCTGTTTGTTCAAAAAAAATAATTCATTATCTTCTTCATGTTGTGTTTTTTTTTTTATTATTGTACAATAAGAATAAAGTGGAGATTTATTATTCGAAAATTTTTACTAGAACTAATTTATACGATTTGGCATGAAATTAAAAATTGAAATTTTGTCAGCAAAAATATTTTCTACGTTCAATCTTTCTCACGCAGCTGATTTCTGTTGTGAATATTGGATATATTTTGCTTGAAAATGTGGACACTTTCTCACCTGAAACAGATTTCATTAGTAGAATTCTTAAGTTGTCTGATTACCTTAATCTTTGATAATCTAAGAATATCCTCTTGTATTAGTTATCTTAACTTTAGTACTACTAGGAGGTACTGTTTTAGTGACCTTTTCTGGCTTTATGTGTTAGTCGTAATCAATGGACTATTGATTTTTCAACAAATATTTATATGACACGTGCATCAATCACTAGACGCAACAGAATTTGTTGAATTTGATATAAAAATGGTCAATTCAAAACTCAAATCATCTTGTTTGTTATGATTAAATGTACTTTTACATAAATGGAAAGAACAACGTGATAAAACCGATCTTTCAAAAACACTCTACAATCAAGAAATGAAGAACTTTGAGACGCACACATCTTTATCAACGGTTTGTCTGATTGCTGTGATTCCTTCAGACTTTATATTTGTTCTATTATGTAGATGATCCTTTTCTCCAGACGAAAATTTATCTATGCTACGGTTCGATAGATATTTTGAAACAGTGCATTTTTTTTTTTCATTATATCGATATTCTATTTATGATATGAGTCATAGACGCACAAACGATGATTAAAACAATTCTCAATAAGTAAAAGCGATTCTTATATTGCATGATTCATTATCACGTGAAACAAATTCCCTGTGATGTATGTTTGTATGTATAGTATTTATGCGTACTTCACGGTAAAAATACAGAAACTATATTAATTAATCTCATTTCATCACCATTACAGTTTATAGTACTATAAATTCATAGGTAAATTAAATGAAAAACTATCATGAATACAATCACAACTGATTTAATGAGAAAAAATTTTCTTTCTCTTCTGTTTGCAGTTTAGTTTCTTTTCAGTTCAAATCGCTTTTCGGTGATATTATTTACACATGTAGAAGTAGAACTGCTGTTGAAGACAACTTTTACTGGGAAAATAAATAATGTTGTACACAACAGACAGTTATTCTGTATAATGTTTTAGTACAAAAGATCCCATACCAGAAAATTTAAAATTTGACATAGCTTATGGATCAGAATGTTCGTCGTAGACCAATGTAAAACGTTTTGTCATTTACAAACATGGATGAATGAACATAAAGAAAGATCAGGAAATTGAGAAAGTCCAAACAGTTAAATGAAAAGAGATGAAAAACACTAACGAATCGAAAATTGACAGAATGCGTGATGAGATTATGACATGTTCCATAACACATGCCCGCGCGGAAAAACGAAGCCAGGTTGATCTGAACAGTATTTTAGATAGCACTGACAGATTTTATATTGTTGACACTACAGATCAAAGCTCAAAATCTGCTACTAGAAAAGATTATAATCCTACATGACATAAAGTTACATCGAATAATTCTTTCCACATTCAGATGGTTACATTCTTTACTTTATCAGTTCTAAAAATCATTTTGAGTTTAGCTGGATGAATAGTACATTTCTAATTCATCAATTAAACTAAACAAAGCGTATGTCATTTAAATATAAGTTCTTCGTCTTGAGCACGTAAAATGATGCCTTAAGGGGATACTTTTTCTGACATATGTGATGTATTCACTTGTTTTTGAAATATCTCAGCAAGAAAAGAAACACAACTTTAAACATACAATCATTTCTAACCTCTTTTCAACTCAAAACACGTAAAACTGGGTAAATCTATAATATTTGTTTATTCTGTATGTCGTGCCATCAGTTAGTCAAGTTTATGTATCTTTTTCTATAGATTTTGCTTCTTCTATTAACCAAAATGTTTGATAAGAAAAATGTGCATGCTTGTGCATTATAATATTTGATACATGTATTTTTACTGATTCATAATTATTTATGAGTATTTGTTTAACACCTGAATCATTCATTCGGTGTAACTTTATGTAGTGTTATAATCTTTTCTAGTAGCAGATTTCGAACTTTAGTCTATAGTGCTAACAAAAAAAAATTTCCTGGTATGGGATCTTTTGTACTAAAACATTATGCAAAATAACTGTCTGTTGTGTACATCGTTCTTGCTATTCCCAGTAAAAGTTGTCTTCAACTCCAATTCTACTTCTACATGTGTAAACAATATCATCGAAAACTGACACTTTATGAACTATGATTTCACTCTGATTGCACATATCTTGTTCATTTCCTCTCGTCCATTGAGTTTAGTGGTACGATTCTACTGATCTCATAAGACGTGTTCAATAAACAAATTCGATCGATAAGCATTTTCTTTTTCTAACTGTGCAAAATAATCAAATTAACCCATCATTATTTTTGTTGTCGTATGCTCACTTATGATACTCACTGAATATTAATCTATATTATTTTAAAACGTCAACCGATTTATGAGATCAATAGATTTCAAGATACATTTTTTCTTAGTAGACTTTAGAATAGGTGAGCTTTTTAGCTATACGTTGTTGACGTAAATAATCATAATTTTAGAGCAACTAGGATTACAATTCACATTCATATAATCGTTACATTGTTCTTTAGATGTTCGTTGTTTTTGTTATACTATCTTAATTCTGTAATTCTAAGCAAAATCAGTTTCAGCCAAGGTTTGAGCGAATAACATCTTTAGTGGTGATAGAATATAACGTTAGAATCTCGTCAGATGCGATCATGCAATAAACTAACACTCCTACAGTCATCAAGACTTGCGTCGAAGAAGTGATCGCTGCTTGTAGGTCTAATATAAGGAATGATCAGAGTCCGTAATGAATCGAATAATTCGGCATTCGATTCAATTTGGTTCAATCTTTAATCGAATAGAACGTTTGATTATCCCTCCTTATCATGTCTGAAATGCACAGTTTAAGAGTAATTAAATAGTATTGCTAATATTTCATGAAAATATACTTTATCTTCGTAGTATTTAAATACTGCGAAGATAAAGTATATTTTCATGAAATGTTAGCAATACAATTTATCTAACTTCGTATAATAAAAAGACCCTATTCAACTTTTAAAAGTAATTAAATAATTAATAATTTAATTTAATTAAGCTTTCGATTTCGATGGTATTATGGAATAATTCATTATATTTTATTGAAACGTCCGGTCAACGTGGTTGCAGAGTATTTTTTTTTAAAACTTTAATCTCATCACTCTAGTCCAATGGCGACTGAAATCGGGTTACCCCATTGTATTTGTGCTCAAAGGTACCGAAACACTGAGCATTAGATAGCTTATCCAGGACTATTACGTGATATTTCGGCAAAGTAATTTTGTAGATAATCTTTTGTTGTATATAATAAGCTTGAAAAAGTTTGAAAAGTTTTCTAGCGACATAGGTTCTTTTACGTGAAACATTGTAAAAACTATTTTCTCTACTTTTAAGTATAAAAAGTAATTTTCTGAAAACCTTGCCAGCGATTACACGATAACAAAGAATTTTCAAGAAAAGTTTTCGCTAGCGTAGTTGTAGGCGATGTCATTCTACATGAGATAAGCGGAAGTTTTCTTTTCTAACAACAAAAACTTCAAAAAATTATTAATTAAAATATTTTATTTTATTTTACGCTTATCTCATGCAGAATGCCATCGCCTACAACTACGCTAGCGAAAAGTTTTTTTGAAAAGTCTTTGTTATCGTGTAATCGCTGGCGAGCTTTTCAGAAAATTACTTTTTATACTTAAAAGTAGAAAAAATACTGTTTTTACAATGTTTCACTTAAAAAAACCTATGTCGCTAGAATACTTTTCAAACGTTTTCAACCTTATTATATACAACGAAAGATTATTTACAAAATAACTCTATAACGGCGTTGACCGAACGTTTCAATAAAATATAATGAATTATTCCATAATACCATCGAAATCGAAAGTTTAATTAAATTTAATTATCAATTATTTAATTACTCCTAAACTGTACATTTCAGACATGATAAGGAGGGATAATCAAACACTTCAGGTTATAACCCACACTATGTCAAAATATAGGGGGAGGTGTGGATCCCACTTAAGCCGAAGCGAACCGATTCGAGTCACATTTCCTCCCCGAATTTCCGGCTCTGGTAATGACACCATCCCAGATGAACGATAAACGAGAATTAATGATTCACTAGAAAACTACATCTAAAAGATTCTCTAGAAGTTCATTAAATGCTTGTTTTATACCGTTTTGTAATCGAATCTCTATTGGTACAAAACTAATTTTGTGTTTCTCGATAGTTTAACTATAACTGAATATTTTTCTGCTTGTATTCTAACAGAAGAAAACTTATATCAAATCCTAATACGCATAATATGAAAAAATAGGAAAAATAAGAAATGTAGAAGTATACACATTTAGCTGTTATTAATAGTACGATAACTAGTAAATTCTTCACAACTACTTGAAATCGACGAAATGTTGGACTGAATACTATAAAAATAAAATTTTTATACAGTTTTTTAAGTTAAAAATGAATTTATTTTTGTTATTTTTTTAAGGACGGTAATTGTTTTGATCCCGTAAAAAATGCAGAACGGAGCCCGTTTTTC